TTGTATTTTATTTGCATGTTTTGAATGCCAAACCCTTATTTCTGTCAGTAAATTCAGTCAGTAACCAATTTTCCACAAATATTTCACTGACCTAATGTTTTCTAGAAGAAAAGCAATTTATTGATCAGAGCATCATGCCTACAGATCTAGATAATCTCAATGTACACACCTTCTTATAATAGAAACCAGGACAGTGCAATGGATAGTGCATAGGGCTGGAGTGGCCAGGAGACCCCCACGGTCTATTTGTAGCTCTCTTACTATGCGACCTTGGACAAGTTGCTTCACTTCACTGTGCCCAATTTCTCCATCTGTAAAATAGGGGCCATAGTGCTTATGTACCTTTAGACAGATTATTGAGCTCTGTGGGTGAAATGTGCTAGCTGGAGTAAGTGCGCGGCCTTATTAATGATCTCTCCTCAGTTTGTTTCTATTCCAGAGGACAAATTTTATTTTTCCTGCATGAAATGCTAAATGAAGAGCAGTTAGGGCCCAATCCAGCTGCTACTGATGTCAACGGCACAATTCTCATAGACTTCAATGGTGCAGGATCTTTCCCTTTAAGATTAAGAACTCAATTAAGGGGTGCGTTATGACTCCTTTATGCTGGTGTAAAGGTTCTGTAAAGATTTCCTAAAGGCTACAGTAGGAATATAATCAGTGCAGAGGGAGTCTTTAATAGGTGTAGGGCTCTCACACAACTCTGCAGGAGCCCTGGGTAGAGGTGTGGTGGTTTGGGTATCCCTAAGCTATTGGTCCGAAAGGACTGTTATTATCTGGGCATCAGTTAAGGTAAACTTCAGGCTGCTCTAACCTGCATCAAGAGACAACCTGAACTTTGGCAGCCTTTTGCAATGTTCCCTTTAATTTTTTCCACCCAAGTGCGGAATACATTTTGTTATGTGCACTAAGGTAATGTGTGGATGTGTACCACCAGTAGAAACAAAAACCTTAGATATAATTATATATTTTTAAAAAGTTACCATAGGGATAATTACTCCAGCTAGGATAGGTTAGGCATTTTAGAACTCACTACTCACAGAATTAAATTTAAGTGTAAGAGAGAAATAAAAATTATGAAATTCATAAACCACACAAAACACTAAAATAACACTTGGAAAGCATAAAATGAGTGAGAATATATGTGCATTGCAGGAAGTACGAAGAAGTAACAACACCACACACATGTGTTGGGAGATGTGTGACACAGACAATGTGCGTGACACAGAGACTGAGTGAGAGAGACACACAGAGACAATATGAGTGTATGTGTGACACAGAGTCTGTGTGCGCGCTGGCTGCTGGGGAAGTTCTTGAGAGATGCCATCTGCTGTCTCTTTAAGGCACTAACTGAAAGCTCTCCTCCTCCTGAACCATGTCCCTCCTTCCCCTCTCTGCAGAGATGGGGTACATGGGCGGGGGGGGGGGAGAGGGAGAAGAGAGATTATGTGTGCTAGCTGCTGGGGAAACCTCAGAAACCGTGCACGCTCTCATTAAGGCACTCACCAGGCTTGTTCAGACCTTAGAGCTGCTCCAAGTCCTGAGCCCTGTCCCCTCTCCCCTGCTCTATGGAGATGGGGTACAGTGGCTTGGGGAAGGGGGACACCCTGACATCAGCGCCCTGCTCTGCACAGCTAGCAGGAGGATCCCAGGAGCAGCTGCAGGAGCAACGTGGCTGCAAAGCAGCTGGGGGAGGGGGCAGCTGAACACACACTGCGGATGTACGCGGCTCTGCTAATCAAGGTGCACGGCCCTTGAATCTCTCCTGGGCGGCTGCCCAACTGCACAACTTAGAGGGAACACAATATAGGGGCAGCACAAAGGTGGTGTAAAGTTACTGGTCCCTGCACCAAACATTACCAGTGTAGGGATGAATTTTTCCCTTAGGTCCCGAGATCCTGCAAATGTTAATTACAAGTGCATTGTGCTCAATAGCATTTCCAGGATTGGCCCTCAATTCACAATTTGAAAAGCTAACAAGCAATGGATCTGATTCTGCAAGGTGTTGAGTGGCTTCCATGAGGTGCTGAGCACCTGAAAATTCCAATAAAGCTAAAGAGATGTACAGTAAACTGTACGATTGGGCGCAATGTCTCCTACTGTGAAATAAACAGAGCTCATTATTCTCAGTTATGAAACTGAATATAGGAGATGATGCACTTACACTGTGAAAAAAAATCAGCATGGCCAAATGTTGGAAGCATCAATGTTCAAAACACACACACACACACACACACACACACACACACACGCTGCCAGATGCAGAGTGCTGGCCTCTAGCTGGGAACAGGGGAGGGACAGGATCTAAAAATAGCACAAGAGATGCTTCTGCTACAGTTGCCTTTTCTGTTCCAAATTCTCATTTCCATTCTGTACAAGTGAGAAAAAAAAAAGAAGAAAGGAAAGAAAAAAAGGTTTCTGTGCTCTTTTAGGGGATGTCTACATTGCAATAAAACACCCTCGTCTGGCCCGGGTTAGCAGATTTGGGCTCAGGCTACAGGGCTATAAAACTGCAGACATTCTGGCTGCAGCCCAGGCTCTGGGACCTTCCCCCATCCAGAGTTCCCAGAGCCTGGGCTCCAGTCCGAGCCCGAACATTTACACGGTGATTTTATAGCCTCGCAAGCCTAAATCAGCTGACCGGGGCCAGCCATGGGTGTTTTACTGCAGTGTAGACATACCATTAGGCCGGGTCTGATCTTGCTCCCAGTGCATTAAATAGCAACCCACCATTGACTTGAATGAGGCAGAATCAGGTCCTTAAAGCATGCCGGTAGACTGGTGTGGCAAATTGAAGAACTCCACCAGTTAGTGGGCAGATACAGAGGCTAATGTGATTCATAATTAGAGGGAAATTTTAAAATGTGGATGTTTTTCGTGTTTCAAATCATGTAGTGCGAGACTGGTGTTACCACAAACCCTCTTATGGGATAGCCCATTGGTTGTTCTCCCTTTGCTACAGAGAGGTAATCATTTATGATTGGTCCAAACTGCTACCTGCCCTGCCTTGAACCTGTCAGCCGTAAGTAACAAGTGAGCTCCATCCACTGCCCGCCCACAGGCTCAGGAGAGTGGGAGGCATGGCACACAGCCTGGGCCACAATCTGACCCCTAAAAAGGATCCCGCTCTCAGTGGGCTCAATTGTGAGCAAGCCTATACATTCAGCATCTTCCACACCAGGAAGAAGGCTGGTGCAGCTTACTTCCCACACGGTGCAATGGGGAAATATGATCTGAATTGTGACTCTGTGCCAGAGATTATTCCCTGTTCTGCTCCTGGGGCAGCATAGCTAATCACTGCTGCTTCTTTCTCAGGCAGATTGCTGGATACCTGTTTAGCCCATTGACAGTCATAGGAATTTTTATATTAACGTCAACGGGAGTGGAAGCAGATCCTAGGTTAGTAAAATATGTTTTCAGACCCAGTGACATCACTGAAAGTTTTGGGTGTGCACAAATGCAGACTGAAGGGATACAGTGGCTGAATAATATGGGGAATTTGCAATATTCTATTGTTACAATGTGGGCACTTCAGTGGTTTGGGGTTTTTTAAATGATCAGAGTCAAAATGGACTACGTACACTTGTCCTGCAACCTAGTTAGATTGTCATATTTTAAGTGTGAGAACTGAGAAGCCAGCAAGCGCACACACACACACACACACACACACACACACACACACACAGAACCTCTATCAACAGTCACCTGTCTTTCCAATGAGGCATTGTAATCCCACTTCTCCTTTTCTGAAAGCTGTATAATAGAAACACATGTGCAAGTTATGTAGGAAAGTTAACACTTTCTCTTATGCAAGAGCACGGATGGAACTTTTTATTTTCAGATTTTCTTAGGCAACAAGAAAATACAAAAACTAAGTTGATGAAAAGGTAACACCTGTCAATTTCTCTGAAAATTGGAACATATACCAATATGGACTGATCATGGCCATTCCCAAATAACAAGGGGGAAAATTAATTACCGGTACATAAAAAAAAAAAACTCTTTATGAAATATGTAGATACATATCACTAAAGTCCCAAGCCCACATTCCTTGCCTACTGAAAATCCCCTCCAGTGAACTTGCTGGCCCTTTCAGGTGTGTCTGGAATGTTGGGTCAGGCACTTAATTTTTGTTTAGACATGGTACACGAACACCTTTTGACCAGAGGCTGACAGGTTTGACATTCCATTCAATATTAGGTATCAAACTAATCCAAAACATCACAGAATTTTATGTGTGTGCATAATACTGTCATCTAACCCGTGAACATATGGGAAGACATTCATTTTGCTGGTTAAGTGACTGCAATGATCTCCTTAAATTGGTTGTGAATTTGGCCCATGATGCATTCTTTGATTGTGTGTTCATTAACGAATTCTGGATCTTTTGAGACAATGTTCCATAATTTCTCAAATTCTTCACTGGCATGCAAGACCCAGTGAAACTAGAAAGATTTTAGTTTGGCTGAAAAATATTCCTTTTAACTGCTACCCACTGTATTGCATACATCCAGCAGAATGTGCCTGCAATGCTGATGAATATAGCAAAGCAGTGCATTTGTACTTACCAGGGAAGTCCTGATGTGCCACTGATTTCAGCTGTATGTGAACAGAATGCAGCAACTCAGCAGATAGAGTGAAGAACCAGCTTTGAAGTAGTCCCCAATTAAGTCCCCATTCCTGTACAGGTAAAACTTCCTATTGCATCAAGTTTTACCTAGATAAGGGGTTCAGAATAAGGTCCTAAATATGCAACTGGACTTTTATTACTTAAAAACTGCAAACCACCTTCTCAGCCATCAAGTCAGTAAAGTCAAATGTGCAAGGTGGAATGGGGACATCCACATCAAAATCATATTTAATAGATTTACTAAAACACAGGGGATGGCTAATTTACATCCTCTATCCACCAACTGTATCTAGTTTCGTTTTTTTCTCATTTTGTGGTAGAGGTGGGTCATTTAGCTATAAAATACTACACATTAAAGATATTCAGAATAATGTTTATTTATATTCAGTGCTATAGTTCATTAAATACTGGTATCATATATCCATGTCTGAGGTAATATAAATTAAAAAATATATTCAAGCTTTCAGTCCCATACTTGTGCTCTCTCTATTTTTTCTACCATCATACAGAATTTTGAAGCAAACATAGTAGTTCATAGTTTTGAATGCAGCTGTGAATATCATTTTAATATAGTCTTTTCTTGTCTGACTATACTTTTGAGGAGAATGGTTATTGCATGATACATTTTTAGTAGATTTTTTTTCTTATATTAGAATTTTCTCATAAAATCTCACATGTCCAAGTTATAGGATGAATGGGTATGAGGATGTACTTTGGGCCAAGGAAGACAGACTTTGAATCAGAATGACAGCACATGCTGCAGGATTATTGTCCGTATACATTGTGGCCCAGATCCAGAAAAGCCACTTAAGCATGTGCTTAACTTTAAGCATGTGTGTATTCTCAAGTGACTTCAGTGGGATTACTCACGTGCTTAGTTAAGCATGTGCTTAAGTGCTTTGCTGGATCAGAGTCTAGGAGAGACTGCAAACATAAATTAACAATCCTCTTTAACTCTGCATTGTTTGAAAACATTGCTGGTTTTACACTGCATCACCACTGTAGGATTTTTTCATATCAGTGAAGCACCTGTGAAAGTTTCTAACTTGGTTCATAAATAGACTATACAAAAATAAGCTGCTAGACTGACCCTCTTCTCTCCATTTTGATAAAAGCAAAACCTGATTTGAAAAGCTATTAAAGTAATTTTTCAATGGTAAAATATATTTAAGAAAATAAACTCTTCATTTCATCATCTTTCATTGACATATAAGCTTGTTAAAGGGCAGGGCATACCTCTCACTCACAAATTCAACAGACAGAAGCATTTCAATCCTTTTTGCACTATATGCTGGTGTTAGTAAGCCCTTATCCTAAATCTCCATCAAGCCCAACAAAGAAACAAAAAAAATATATGTTTCTTGTATATGTCTTTTTCATAAAGTCCATGGAGAAAAAATATATTTTCCTCATTATTAAATTCTTATTTAACTCCTGCCATTAAAATAGAAGATACACCTCACCAATATCTATTTAACTTTAACTAGCCATTGTAAATACAAAGGATACAAGTGCTCTGTAAAAATCACTGTGACATGCCATCAAACTCTTTTAGTGTTTCAAAAGTTGTATTGATCCATATTTAAATTGATGAAGCTAAAGCTAACTTTTTGTGCTTGGGTGCTCTTGGAGGTAAAGGTGTACTTTCATCCCATTTTTTTTTATTATTCTATTTTGCAAACTAGTGACAGTGGTGATGATACGATCCTGAAAAATCAATTTGTAGTATTACCAAAGCCTACGGTCTGTATTAAAACTCTCCATGCTCATGCAGTGAATTGCATTATTGAGGGTTCCATTACAGTGGTACTGGATCTGATCACCAGGTTATATCCATGCAGCACTATATCTTTAGTACTCCACAGAACTCACTATTGCCCTTGGTTCTTCAAATGTTGCCATCATTATGTGCTTTGGGGTAGGTATGGAGAGTATTTCCCCTGCTTCGGTTGGTGAATGAATACTGTTGTCTGTAAGGTTGGAAACCTCTTCCTCGTGATCTTCATACAGTGTATTGACGTTCAGCAGAGGGTGAGTAGGATTACGATTCAGTGCAGCTGTTGGTTCTGGTTTGACATGGCTCAGGGTTATATTTGTTGCAGCAGCAGTTGTTGCTATATGATTGTGATTGCAGGAGAGGTAAGCCCCAGCAGCAGGGACAGTTCTGCATGTCTCAGAGGAGTATAGAATCTCTTTCTCATGATGTGGGATGACTGAAAGAAAACAGAATATAGAGTAAATCACTGGCTAGTCTATTTTTCCCCACTAATCCGCCACATAGCTGTATCCTGATCCCATAGAAGTCAATGGGAGTTTTGCCACTGATTTCAATAGGAGAAGAATTGGGCCCAATACACAAGTTTTAATTGGACTCTGAGAAATCTAAGACTACTTCTTCATGCGAGCTTTGACTTTTGAAAATTCTAGTCCTAGAAGCACATTACAGTGTGACTAATAAGTTTTGTAAATATCACTTAAAGCTACATTTTTAAGCATTGCCTATGTGCAGGGCCGGCTCCAGCATTTCTGCCGCCCCAAGAAAAAAAAAAAAAAAGCCGCAATCGGTGGCGGCAGTTCAGCGGCAGGTCCTTCACTCCTAAAGGGAGTGAGGGACCTGCCGCCCCTGAATTGCTGTAGGTGCCACCCCTCTCCCTTGGCTGCCCCAAGCACCTGCTTGTTAAGCTGGTGCCTGGAGCCAGCCCTGCCTATGTGAAATCATCCTCATTACACACATCATAAGCCGCTATTCTAAATGAAATAGCTCAACAATGCATAATCAATAAATGTTTCTTTCCAGAACTTGCTCACTCAAAAGCATTCTTGGGTGGGGTTTAAGGTGGGCATAAAAGCAGCTGTTGTAATTATTTTGTACTCAACTTAAAATATCCAAACACTTGTTTAAATAAAGATAATCGAGACCAGAAACCCCTAGTAGCTTCAGGGAGTTGGAGTCAGAACAGGCTACTGGATTAAGAATGCTGTGGGAAGTCCTGCACATATATACTGGGGAGTTTGAGGACTCCAAAAAGGAGCATAAGGATTTTAGAGCTCAAATCACTTTTCTGCTGGGCAGGGAGGACACAGTAGCTGTCTGTCTGCTGAGGTCCAGAAAGGTGTGGGGGGGGGAGGTCTTTGCTTATAAGGAACCATATCTTTAACACAAAGTTTTCTATAACTCCAACTGCACATTTCATCTTTTATATTGGTCACTTATAGTAATAGATAAGTAGATATCTAGCTATGGCGCCCATCACCATAGCATCTCAGCTCCTCATGATCACTTGAAATATTTGTTTTCACAACACCCCTCTGAGCACAGGTGCTGACTTTTATTTTTCCCCAAGGGTGCTCCACCCTCGCTCTGCCCCAAGGTCCCACCTGCAATCCACCCCTTCCCCTAAGGCCCCGCCCCTGCTCTGCCCCCTCCCGCCCGCTGCTCTCCACCCTCCCCGAAATGCCTCCCCCATCCCCCAAACAGCTGATCAGTAGCACAGCGAACAGCTGTGGCTGGTGAGCAGTCACAGAGTCAGCCCCTATGCTTCTGAGGTAGGGAAGTACTATTATCCGCATCATACAGGTGGGGAACTGTGACTTGTCCAAGAACACAAAGAAGTCTGTGGCCAAGCTGAGAAATGAACCTGAGTCTCAAGGGGTGCCTTTCACACAGACCAGCCTTCCTTAAAGCCAAGTAAGACAAAGGGAAATTTAAATTTATATTAAGGATTACAACTCAACAATAATCTGAGTTTTGGAATCCTCAAGATTCAGGGCATAAGCCAGCCTCTAACAAAAGGGGAGTAGGAAGAAACTTTCCTCTGGGCAGACTATGCCGTAACTGCCTTCTGCACAGTTTCATGCACCTTCCTCAGCAGCTGGCACTGGCCCATCATACACGGGATACTGGACTAGATGGAGCACTGGTTTGATTTAGCATGGCAGTTCCTGTGTTACTGGAAAATGAGTGATGTCACTTACAATGAAGTAGAACTGAGAGATAGGAAAGGGTGGGGTATCCTGGGAGCCAACTCTTACCTCTTTTCCCGGCAAAAGTGGTGACATTTTGCATAAGGCCAAATTCAAAATTATGTGGAAAAATCTATCAATACTACAAAAAATATCTGCAAAGCAGAAGGACATGTTGCATAGCTCGGCCTTGCCACAGATCTACTACTCCTTATCACAGACCTATATTGAGAAATTCTATCTAACCCATTTAAGAAGCCTACTTGCCCTTATATTATCAGCTGCTTAGAAATTTAACAAGATAGAGCCAACAGATCAGGTCATCTTTGAGTTCAACCTACAGCAGACAGCTACTCCAAATTCTGGCCTGTTCAGTTTATCACTGTTGAGATGGTACTGCAATGACATACTGTACCTTTGAGAGAAGAGGTGACATGAACTACGACATTTTCCTCTTGGTTTAAAAATCCACCCTCTTGGCTTTTGGATGTAGGCATTGAGGCAATGGCTTGAATCTCTGGCTTGGGTTTTTTACTACTAAGTATATATGGGTGAACATCCAGGGAAAAGTGCCGTGTATGTTTTTTCTCATTGCCTGTGCTGGAGATGGGGTTTGACTCAGTTTTCTGAGATGATGATTGCTGTGAGGTTTTTGACGTGGACTCTATCAGAGGAGCGATAAGGCTATCAGTTGCTGTTTTCCTGCGCACTGGCTTCGGCTTTTCAGGTTTGTGGTTTTCAACCTTCATAATAGCTAACTGCTCTTTGAATGGCTGAGGAAGTGGATTGCTACTTGGGATCCATTTCATTTTCTTCCTAGGTCTCTTAATGACGAGCTGTTCATTGGCATCAATGTCTGCTGGATCGACACTGGGGTCTATAGTCTGAATCCCTGAATCGCGCATGGTTGGTGTGACATCATGATTAGACTGGGCCAGCGCCGCCAGCAACTGGCGCACCACATTATCATACATCAGATCACTTTCATTTGTTATAAAATCCAAGCGATTCAGGGATTTTATATGGTCCCGATTTTCATTGCAAAACATAGCTAGAATATTGATGTCACAAAACTGAGACTTTTGCCACTGTTTCTTGGTCTTTATTCCAACCTTGTTCAGTTTATCAAATATGAAGTTAGACTTGCGGAATATGAAAAGGTGAACTAAGTTGATGAGAATGATCAAGTTCATAAAGCAGAGGAGGACAATGTCTACTCCAGCTATTATCCGTTGCAGCTGGACAGCTGGCAGCTTGCAGTTCACCCGGATGTGCAATTTGGAGCTGCTCGTTTTGTCAGGAGGCTCTCCTAGTGCACACGTAAACTCATTTTGCTTCTGCGTAGCATAGTAGGTGGATAAGTATGTAATTGGTATAATGCTTAAAAATATGATAAATAAATGTCTCGCAAGGTAAAGTTTAGCTAAAAAGTTACTTCGCCCTCTTCGTTCCAGGTATTTTTCAAACAAATTCTGCTCAGGGCTTTTTTCCTTTTCTGCATTCTCAATTATTTCTCTTTTCTCCCTCTCTGTGATCCCAGGGCCTTTGGATTGTATTTGTTTCTCTATTTTCGGTGCACGCCCTTCTGCTGCACGGTGGTAGCAGTTATCAATCTCCTGAAGCAAAAAATTAAGCTCAGAAGTCAGTCTGGTGGAGGCCAGAAACTCCCAGCCAAGAGCTGGAATGTACATTATGCCAGCAAAAGCCAGCAGTGCATAAGGAAGGAACTTATGCTCAAACAAGGAGGGCCAATGGCTGGCATCAACTCCTGGCAAGGCATCTATTAGTTCTGTCCAACAATATCCTCTGGCATACAAGGCTTGGTCACGGGTGAAGTTGTGGGGTGTGTAACAGTATATTGGCTCCTCTGTATAACAGAGAGAAAAGTCACTGCTGTGCATTTAACCTACAAAAGGAGCTCTGTAAAATAAATATTTCAAATGATATCAATGTTCTTTTACTGTTTCTTTACATGGCCATCAAGCCCACAAAGATTTAATATTAGTTAGTTATGACCCGCACTGCCCACACCCCAGGCAAAACTATCTGCTTGAAGAGCTTTAATAAACCTCAACTAGAAATGTTAAAACAAAAGTTTTTATAAATTGCGTTGGCTACCACTTCCAATGTAGAACTCCACACTGAACTCTGGACAGCTAATGAACAGGATATCCTTAACCACTGTATAGTAGCTGAGACTGTAATATCAAAATACATGGCTTCCCTATAGAAATAAGCATAATATATGACTCACCTTAGTGAAATATTTTTTCATTAATAAAGCCAAATTAGTTGTAGTTGAAGTCAATGAATCTAATCCTGTGCAAACTCACAGTAACAAGGACTACTGTACTGAACATGACAGAGAGAATTTAAACTTAATATCATCTAGATACTGGGTCAACTTCATCTCAAGTGTCTCTTTGATTTCAATGGCGATACGCCAACAATCTGTCCAGTTAACAGTCTCTTTAGCACTGTAAATATTTAGTTTTACCTTCAGATATTTACTATTAAAGATTTTGCAATAAAATATTCTAGCAATAAAATATTCTATAAGAGTCTAGTAAAAGTTGGAATATTGTTAGTTACTCACAATGACGACCTTGACCTAGACATGCTCTTAGAGGAGAAAGCATGTACTACATCCCTGTCAGCTCAATTTTATGTCTCTGGAGATTACTGGATATGGAGTAAATTTTAATAGTGTTCTGACAGGCATTACAAGAAGCAGTTGCTAAATCAGACCCATGTTAAGTAAATATTTTTCTTCTTGAACGCAGAATATGCCAAGAACACCAAGCTTGTTTCCATTATGTACACACAACCTGGACTCTGGGAGCAACAGGATTAAAGGGTTTTTAAGGATCAGTTAAGGCTGCTGGGTCTTTAAAAATTGTAACATTCCTTGGGAGTTGTTTCATTTGGTAGCAATGACTAACAATTTCATCTATGTGTTGAAACCCTTCCCCATAAATCACATGTGCAAAGAAGCTCTAATCTTTGCTGCAGCAGTAGGCAAAAAAAAAAGAAAGACCCCCACCTGCCAAATTTACTGACCTTTGCAAGGGAAACCAAACAGTTCTCTTGTACTGTGGAAGTATCCAAAGGCACATGCACATACTGGGTCTTCATGTAACCAAATCAGTGTAAGTATCAGGGTTAGTTCTTAAGTGTTTTGTGGGGGGCGATTTGTGGGTTTTTTTTTGAAGCAATTTACTGCAATAAGGATTAGTTTCCAAAGTACAACTAATCTGGGTGGAACAGTTACAATACAATACATGCTACTAAACAACAATACAAAGTCAATTCATTTGATAAGCTTAATTAATTAGAATTAAGTACCTTTACAACAGAAAGTAAAACAATAGCTCAAAATGATTCAGTTCCAACCTTTCAGAGAGGGCAGTTTAAGTAGAGTATGTTAATGTTACTCATTTTTAAGTGCATTTCCACAGTCTCTTTTCTCGAGTATCTTTTCTGTTTGCATGAGCCCCAAATTCCAGCAATTAGAAAAAAATCCCAGCTGCAGTGTCTACCACCTGCTTCTACTAGGAAAATGCTCATTAGCTCCCTGGTTTTCGGCAATCATATCGCATCCCATTACTGATCATGGGAGATATGTGCCAAGAAATTCCAACTCCTGCCATCAGGGGGTTGGTTACTGTTACTACCTTACTGTTAAGGTTTCCCTAGAGATCCAGTAGGTTCCTATGGAAGAAAAATTTCAGTTAAAAAAGTAGCACAGACACTTAATGCAGTTTCTTATATCCAGAAATATATTAAAAGATCTTTCATGCGCTAAGCCACATCTGTCAACTCCAAATTAAGTTTCAGAGAAAAACAATTTCTCTTGTGGAAAAGTATCTGATCATTTCTCCTAGATCACAGTACGTACTGTACCAGAAACATGCAGTCAAGACTGTATACAATTGCTCGCACAAAGCAATTGCATTTATTCCGGACCCATGCACCAGCTGGTGTTATGAAATAAATCAGGAACACTGGTTTTTTGTTTTTCCACTGAGGTCCCACAATTAAGTTAACTATTGCAATATTTCAACACAGAATTGCAATTCAATCAAAACAATCTCAATTAAAGGTCATATACTATCTATGTGCCTGCACCATGGATTGGGCACATATTTCAAACTTGGCACAAGGAGTGGTATACTTTGGTATAATCATTTAAATATACTAACTGTATAACTATGTATAGCACACAGGAGAGAATGTAGAGAAAAAGAGGGGGACTGACCATAATGACATTTCTATGTATTTCAAGAGTCATGATGGATCAATATCTAACTGGGCTCAATCCAATTTAATTGGGCTCTCTGGAGTTTGTTAACTTCAGTGGGCACCGGAGCAGGCGTAAAGTACTCTACAGGAGCAAATCGCTATAGATTATGTATAGGAATTCTTACTCTACAACCATTTCATTCACATTGGTCAGAGATAAAAATCTGAAGAGTTGCACTTTGATGTTTGAACCGAATAGAGTCTCATTTACTAGAGATGACTTCAAATATGATTTTCTCCTGTCGAGTAAAGAAAGTTAAAGTTCTCCTGTGGAAGTCTGCTAGCTCTTCCACTGTTAAATGTCTGTTTTTCAGCTGCTCTCACTGTATGGTGTGAAGTGGGAGTTTTGTAGTTCATGACAGTTATTGAGCACACTGTACTATTTTTAACTGGTGTTTTGTTTATTGATGTTATTTATTTATTGTTTTGACAGGCTTGCTATGAATAGCGATGTAGCGTTTAAATAATGAGGCACAACACACACTCATGGTGAAATCCAGGCTCAACTGAAGTCAGTGGGAATTTGCCATTGACTGCAATGGAGCCAGCATTTCATCCTCTCTGTGTACATTTTTAGCGAGGAATAAGCTATGTATACAACCTACAGAATGTGATATTCTTATAAATGTGTTTCTAAAACATAAGAGCCAAACTCACCCCTAGTGTAATGTCACTGATTTCAATGAAGTTACTTTAGGAGTGAATTTGGCTCAACATACTTTACTGACTTAGAAAATTAGTATTGATTGACCGTGTTTAACCTATATAGACATATGTAATCAGGCCATGATAGGATACATATCCTATGGGCCTGATTGTTCTTTGACTGAAACAGGAGTAAATCAGAGATAATGGAGAAAAATCAGGACCTTATAATAATCTCAATAACTACAAAGCTAATGGTAACGTCTCTAGATTGCAGTATGATATGATGAGGATGGTTTGAGTCAACCCCAGTCAGTTCTTACATCTATCTGGCTATCATTTAAGCCACGAGGGCTGAGTTTGCACAACGAAGATGGAACAGGCTGCTTTGTGGGCCTGCTGAAATTGCCCAGGCTCAGCTATTTTTACATTTTCAGTTTTAAAGTGCTTTCTGGGTAGGTAAAAAAGCATGAGCCCTACAAAAAACAAAAAAAACAAAAAAAAACAGCAAGAGTGTTAAAATCCCAGCTCCAACATTGGAGATACTTACAAACCTAGGTTATTGGGTTTTAACTTTGTAATAACAATAATCTTCTTACATTTATATATCAACTTTCATCGTGAAAGTTCCCAAACCACTTTAAAAAAATTCCCATTTCACCAGTAGTATAGTCAAGTATAAACACAAGTAAACAGTTTACTCACTTCTCATTTGGTGAATATGGAGTTTAGTTAGGTTAGTTTATCCAATTCTTTTTTTTACCACTATGCCATTGCTTTTCATGTAGTCATTCCAGCCACCAGTGAAATGCAGTCCCTTCTGGGATGAAACACAGTGGCAGCTTAACTGCATACAACAATACTACACAATCGTTTAGGAAAGACAGCAAAGAAAGATGCTGAACCCAACTGAAATGTGGTCAGGACACCAGAGCCAACACACTCCTACAATGGTGAAAAGTGTCATGGGATCTTTAATGACCCAGGGTGATCAGAACCTTGATAGTAAGTCTCATCCAAAAGACAGCACCTACCTATCACCATTGATGGGGCACTAATTCACAACTGGCACAAATTGAAAAATGTTACTTCCATATATGCTTGATCCCACACATTTTCCTGTAGCACCTGCATTTTGGTGGGAGTGGGTTTTTTTGGGTGGGATGGGGAAAAAGGCACCTGTTTTTGGGGGGAGTGGTATGGGATGGTTTCCCATCTAGGCACTGACTGAGCCTGCTAAGTTTATATAATTGGATAAGACAACTTCATCAACTGAAATGCCAGCAGTTGATGTTGAACATAATTGAAGATCTAGGGCCAAATTCTGCTTTGATTACACTCACAAACCTTGTTGTCACTGTAGTGTTCCTTTAGGACAATTGTTGATAGAACAAATAACACTGTGCAAGTACCACTGTAAGTGATCTTACTGCAATTCTTTATTTTAATACACTGTATAGTCTGCTATCTGCTAAGATTCAGTGTCCTTTTCTTCTGATATTTCCTAACAAAAATATCCATATAACTTTAAATTCTTCTGTATTTTGACCACATTTACAGCAACTCCACCTTTGTCCAATTCAACTTTCATATGCAAATAATGGGTCAAATCCTGCTTAACTTACTTATAAGTAACTTTGAAGTCCATAAGACAACTTGCACAAATAAAGTGAGCAAGATTTGGTCTGAATTACTGAAATTTTCAGTCAAATTAAAATAATCAATGCAGAATTGTGTGTTGGTATATGTACATACAGGACTATGTAATACTATTAGTTAAGCTACATCACTTAAGAATTACAAATTCTTGACAGCTTAAGCTAGACTATAGTTGTCAGGCTAGAAATGGTAAGCAAGAAAAATATTATATGTGATCTTTTGTAAATAATAAATCCTGCCTCTACGATATACACAAATAGCAACTTTAATCTTGGAAGATCCCTCAGTACTTTCCAACTCTACATTCTGTAATCATTCCCCATTGCAGAACTCCCACTGATGACAGGGCATGGCTCCTATTTGTACAGGAATCACTTCATCCCACCACTGACACGTAGTCATTTGCACTAGTAACACTACACAACAGACTTTAGGAGAGGAAGGGAACAATAACAACTTTCTTTAAAACTTTAGGTAACAAGAATATAATCACCCAAGTTGGAGTTTGGCTCAAAGCCCAGGAGTTAACAACCCTACCCTTGGAAAGAGTATTGCTGGAACCTTCATGGCATCAGTATTACATATGTAATAAAAAGTGACCTGGTTTGCAGTACATTGAGAAGACACTGTCAAGGCTGGTAGGCTCTCATCTTTCTTTCTTTGCTTTTGTAGCTACTTGCAAAGTTCATGCAGTTTTTACAAGGTTTTCTTCAAAAAGAGTGAATTTCACCTAAATTCACATGCTGTTTCTTTTTTTAAAACCCAATATTTAATATAATGAATACTGGCATCTAAACACTCATGGACAACTACCCTGTAAACAAATCAGGCCCTGCTCCTGAAAAGACTTAGGGTACGTCCACCAATGGCGGCAGCATGTAGAGTATGTGTAGCTACACACTGTTGTGAAAAAGAGGCTGCATCCACATTGCGATGTGTACCTACATGCAGCAATGAAAGGCACAGCCTGTCCCCACCACAGGGAGCTGCCAGAGTCTTTCCCCGTTGTGGGAGCCTTTCCCTGTGGTGGGGAAAGACTCCAGCAGAGGAACATTATACTGCTAAAAATAACAGTGTAGATGGAGGAGGCACTGCTTGAGCACGTAGAGAGCTGTACAGTGTACATACCCTAGGGCAGGGGTCAGCAACCTTTCAGAAGTGGTGTGCCGAGTCTTCATTTATTCACTCTAATTTAAGGTTTCGTGTGCCAGTCATACATTTTCACATTTTTAGAAAGTCTAAGTCTATAATATATAACTAAATGATTGTTGTATGTAAAGTAAATAAGGTTTTTAAAATGTTTAAGAAGCTTTATTTAAAATTAAATTAAAATGCAAAGCCCCCCGAACCGGTGGCCAGGACCCGGGCAGTGTGAGTGCCACTGAAAATCAGCTCGTGTGCCGCCTTCGGCATGCGTGCCATAGGTTGCCTACCCCTGCCCTAGGGATTCAGGCATGTCTTTACTCTGCTCACCTAAGCACTGCCTCACCACCTACACTGCTATTTATATTTAAACTAGGGAGGTGGGAAGTGCATGTACACTACATGCTGCCTTAATGAGTGTGCAGGAGTAAGCAAGGGGTTAACTATGCACTGGACAATCCCTTTGAAGCCAATGGGATTACTCATAGTGCATGAAGTTAAACATGTGCATCACTCTGAAGGAATGTGGCTTTAGGTCCAGATTCAGCAAGGTGCTTAAACATGTGCCTAACTTTAAGCCAGGAGTTGTTCCACTGCATTCAAATGGACTTGCTTGATGTTAGGAATGGTTGAGCACCATGCTGAACTGGGGCCTAGCGTGTATGGAGCACACAGAAAAAAGGTATTATGTAAGGAAATCCGGTTCCATTTCAAGCATCTAAGAGGTTATAAGAAGCAATAATCGAAAGCTATTTTTAATAAGTATGGAAAATGTATGGATTGTGCTTTTAGTAGATATTTAAAAGAAAAAAGAAATTTAGTAATAATTTATCACTGTCTGCATAAAAGAACAAATAGCCTTTTATACCTGACTTACACCCCAGCTAAATGTACTGTACTCAACAAAAGCAGACTCAGGACCCTATTAAGGAAGGATTTATACCCCATTTATGTTCATGTTTTTGGAAGTTACGCTGTAACTTGCATAAATTCACATCCTTCAGTAAGGATTCAACAGTGGGGAAGGGATCAGACAATTCAATAATAAGGAGAAATAGAAAAATGCAAAAAGGAATACAGTGACCAAGAACAAACAATTTCAAAATGAGAAAGTCAGCTAAAAATTGTTATCCACGCTAGTCTAGACACAGGTAGGCGGCACTTGTACAAATAGCTATTTTAGTGTACAATTTAACAACATAGTTACACACATTCATGAAAGTCCATGGGACTACTCACATGCTTAGCATTATGCATGAAAGCCTTGATGAATCAGGGCCAAGGGGCTTAAATCTGCAACGTGCTGAAGTCCAAGAGAGCTGAAGGCACTCAGCACCTCCACAGATTGCTTAGCACCTTGCAGAATCAAGCCCTTCTTAGGCAATGCTACAGAAATGTATTCCACAATACAATTCCCTTAGGCTTCAGGGAACACTGTAAAGATCCAGTGTTTTAAACAGACATTAGTCACAATCCAGATTTACACATATGCATTAGGTAACACTGAAACACAGGCTCCTGTTAAATAAACCAGATGAGAAGCTTCACGAGCTTAGCTAGTACAGAACACTATCATACACTGATAGGTCTATCATAATGCAGTAGAATACCATGCCACACCCACAGTGCATCCACAATACATCACAGTATTGACATACGTGCAATCAAACAGCCACAGGCATGCATCATCCACACTAGGTATGTAACTCAGGAATAAATGCGCAATAAAGCATGTAACCAAAGTATTTTATTTTAAGAAAACTAACTAATTGTGGGTTTTTTTTAAAGTAATGTTTAAAGGAAAATGGCTCTGGATCCTCTTCTCTCTGGAAAAAAAAAAATCACGTTACTCAGGTTAAAAAGTTCAGTCTAACGAAAAATTCTCTTACCTAACCAGTACCAGATCTGCCTTCCCTGTCAATATTTTACAGGGAAGTTATGTATACCTCTATTACTTCTGATATTATTGAAACAATTATTGGGTGAAATCCAGGTTCCATTGAAGTAAACGGCAAAACTTCCATTGACTTCACTGGGGCCATGAGCTCGACAGCAATATTTGAAGAACAGTTATGAAAATATAAGTTTCACATAAGGACCAATTCCTGCAACAACTTACACACACACACACACACACACAAGTCTGATCACATATGTAGTCTTACTTAACTCAGTGGGTAAGATTATGCACATGCATAAGTGTTTGTAGGATCAGGCCCTAAGCTAGATCTATAAATTTAAGTATTATTCCTATTAATAAAATAAAAAGACAATAACTTTACCTTTATTTAGGAGTACTGTCCTTCACTTCAGAATATAGGCTCCACGCCTGATGATTCAGTTTGTCTTCCTCAGGCACGATTTCCCCCACGATGAGAAAGCCCAAGTACAGACATTTATTCTCCTTTTTTCTAGATCCAGTTGGCCTGTTTAAAAGAAAAATACTTGAAAAAAAAAAATCAAGAAAAGGGACTACCCTATTGCTAATAGTTCGTAAGGTCCCAGATTCTACACGCCTTACCTATAACTGTGTATGATGAACATAAGCAGTCTTTATGTTTAATAGCCAATGGGCTACCCACACAGATAGGTACAGTTGAAGGTAAATAAGGGTGGCAGAAACAGGACCAATATTTATAATTGTGGGTATCTTCTCGTGCAGTGTTGATTCTCTATTTACATACATTTCCAGTCCTACAGCATAGTCCTACATTATCACTACATAATTAACATTCCCAAATAATTTTGTGTGTGAGTATTTGCTACAAAATATTAACTACATATAATAGACATTACCTTTTCTAAAATTAACTACACAGCACATGCTAAAATTCACTTACCAGGGAATGAGGCGTAAAGGCCTCAACAGTGCCTTGTAATGCCTCCCCCAGGGGAAGAGAAATATTTTTATCTGGGTCCTCATTGAAACGCGGAGGCCCAGAGTGAGAGAATTAGTTCAGATATAGCAACTGTTGCGGTAAGGGGTGTCAGAAATTCCTAGTTGAAAGCCCCTAGACTGCTTCCTATGGGGAGACATTTTTTCAACAATGAGCTATCATCCAATATGCGATGACCATGTTGCAAGATGATAATATCATTGTACAGAGATGTTCCATAGTGATGTACTGCTGCATCCCGCTTCAACCGTTTCCTCCTGTGCTATACAGAATTCTGTGAGGAAAAACAGACATCTGGAGGGAAGTGACACGGCTTACCCTCATAACCACATGTGTTTCTGTACTGTAATCTTGATTTCCATGATGTATAGCTTTAAGGGACAATATCAGGTCAGTTAGAAGAGAAGTTTAGGTTTTGGAGAATGACCAAAATGTAATCAGTGAAATTCATCCTACACACAGGGCCCCAAAGAGAAACCCGTGCTCTGTTTAGAAATATTCCATGAAATTAAAAAAAAATCTGAAGGCAGCGCAGAAGTGAGGGTGGCAATCCCACAACACCCCTACATCAGCTTTGTGACCCCTGTGATGCACTTTTGGGTGGGACCCCCACAGTTACAACAGTGTGAAATTTCAGATGTAAACCTCTGAAAACGTGAAACTGACCAATTTAAAAACCCTCTGGCCATGAACTTGATCAAAATGGACCATGAATTTGGTAGGGCCCTATTTACTTGGAAACTATCTTTAACCTTCAGGTGAAATTCCCCCCAGGGCAGAGAGCCTACAAAAGACTCTATGTCTATGTACCATTTATATCCTGCGTAAGGCCCTGATACTACAAAACATGTAAGCATGTGCTTAAACCCATTGCTACTCTTCTCATCCTATTTGCTGAATCAGGGCCTAAGAGTCTGTTCTAAGTAGAACTTAAGTGGGGCCAAAACACTTGTGCAAGTCCTTTGCACCTTTGGGCCTATGGACACATTTCTGCCCTTAATTATGCCTTCATGTAACCAAGACAGAATCTGGCTCTGTACTCTTAGCAGTAATAATAAAAAAAATAGTTTTTTGCACTTTACTGCTATATGCTGCTCTAGGTGCAACCAGAGAGAATTTTGAAAATAAACACTTAAAATTAAAAGCCACTTTATACATATGTCAGATGACTTGAGTATGTGTAACATGCTGCCCACATCTTGAAACAAGAATATTAGTAAGAGAAGTTGATCAGAGATACCAAAAAAGAGAACCTTGTTGTGTATTAAATAAATCCTCAACAAACACAATTTAAAACATACTGTAGATAATGAAATGCCTCAAGAGACATTGAACTCATGTAGAAACTGTACTACACAGTGAAATAAGCATCATTTATGCAGAAATGATTACATATCAGGAATTAAAACATAAAACTTGAACTGACTCATCAGTCATTTAACTTACTGTCTCCTTCCATTACTTCCTCATGAGAATTTTCTAGCAGAAGGGTGGTAGAGGGCTGAGCTAGGTAACTGCTAAGAGATATAGAAATACAGTATTTGTGAGCAATGTTTGGTATTTGAAGGCATCAATTTATAAATTTAATAAGAAGGCCACCAGCAGAGCTTGGTTTTTTGACCAAAACGTAAATCAACTGGCTGCCAACGTTCTGCTTTATTAGAAGTATTTAGCAGCTTTTGAGGGGGAAAATGAACATGTGATAGTTGACTGTGATATGAAAATTATCATTCACTGCGACTGGAAAGCACTGGGTAGTGTACATTATAAGAAAATTAATGTGATTTGGCAATTCTCGGACTCCATCATTAACCTAAAGCTTTCTTTGATAATTCAGAAATCAAACATTTCAACACCGTGATATTTAAAATGGAACGTAACACACACAACAATGCATTCATTCCCTTTGGAGCCTACGCTTCAGCTCCTTACTCAGAAAATCTCCCACAGACATCAATGAGCGCATTCTCTGAGTAAGCAGCCCAGCACCGGACCTAACCTGTACAATGGAGAATTTTTCTTTATAATAAAGAAACCACTTAGGAAAATAAAACAATACACACAAACTAAGCAGTTAAGAGCAAGGACCAATTCCTCCTAATCTAAAGTAGGCTGAAGAACTTAGTGTCTGGGAGGATGAGGCAACAACACCATAAGTATCCTCACTCTAATTGCAGAATCACTTCTCCTAACAATCATATCGCAGCTACCCACAGAACAAACAACTTCAGCACCTGCCAATGAAGAAAAGTATTCTGCACAGATTATCCTCTGGGCATGTACATTTCTACTTCGGATGACCTATTTGTGGGTGAGGTTCAGGTCCGTGGGTTTCATGGCTAAAGACAGGAGGAACTGAAGGGAGAGTTAAAACAGCACTGGACACAACATGATGCACTTCAAAGTCAGATTTAATGTTGTATATGTAATTCAAGCTTCCAACACTTTGATTCTAGACATTGTAAAAGGGACCTATATATGGAAATGTGCCTGTAGCGCATCCAAACTTTTGGGACTCTTTAGATCTAGATCAAAACTTCACAGCTCTGGCCTGTCTCTAGAATGGGAGAAACAGAACATCAAATCCAAAACAACTGCTAACTTTGGGGTAGAGTGGATTTGGGTTTGATTCTGGATTAGAACTGCATGTCTGTCCTGTGGTTACTGTACTAATGTGCAATTAAATGGAATTTTGTGGTGGCTTATCATTTCTTTACATATTCTTCCAAGAAGGATGCAAAGGTAGGAGCAATAAAATTCTAGTTCAGTAAGAAAACATTGAAATTGTCACTTTAAAAAGAAAAATTGAAAAACCCCTAGTAATATGAACATACTAATCCAGTGGGCTCTGACATTTCTAAGATTGAAGGCCACCAATAAATAATGTAAAAACTGCACAACTGACACCATAAAATTATAGGCTCACAGCTTGCTTCTAGGCTGTCTGGCACCTTGTATAGTCATTTTCTCCTGTACAAAGTGAGGGTACATTTCCTCCATTCACACACCAGTGGTAGTGTTCTAAACAAGAGTGGTGTACTGAACACTGTATTGAAATTGTAAGCTATCACTTGAAATGCTCAGGGGTTTTCCTGGTCCTGCTTGCAGGATCTGTACAGAAGCATGCGATTCTGAACCTAGTACCAACTGGTTTGCAGGCAGCCAGCCCAGTGTAAAGAAGCCTGAATTGTGTCTCTTTGTTTTGGGGGACAGCCTGCTTTCTCTCTGGTTTTGGATTCTTGTGTGTTATTCTGAATTTTAGGAAATAAAAGTAGTGTTACATTGCCACTCTGCAGCAAGAGTATTTATGTTTTTATCGAATTCTCAGTGTGTATGCCAGGAGCATATAACAAGGTGCCAGACAGCAAAGAATCAGGCTTGTGTGTATGAAACATTAAGGAATGAAAAACAGAAGGGTTTCTGACCCTTCAAAGGGTCATGAACAGACATGTACCATGCAAGGAGATGCATATGAAGTTGACTGTGCGCTGGAGACTGGTGTATTAAACTCTCTTATTAACATGACTGGGGCATCTTTGGTATTTTGACAGAAATACGAATATCTTTGACAATAAAGGAAAGTGTCCAAATATGCACAGATGGTAGCTTTCATGTTAAATTAAAAAAAAATCATCCTTTTGTTGTCCTTAAGTTTCAGACAATAATTCCTGAAGGAAAACACTGAATAAAAACAAGTAAATTCCTCTGGGCCTACCAGCTTTGTGCATTTGGACTTGTTATCCTCTGTGTACTACCTTCAACACCACTGGAGCCGACTCCTTGAGACCTGGCTATTGTATGAATCCTTGTAAACAAGGCTTTAAGCCCTGAAATTTTAGAAAACAAAACTTGGGTTGCTTAAATTCAAATCCGAACCCATTCAGTCAAAGAATTATAGGCCAATCCTGCTCCCATTAAAGGCAAAATGCCCACTGATTTCCAATGGGAGCAAAATCAGTGTATGAGATGCAATTTTTCTAGGGCTGGGGTATAGAGGTCAGAGATGGGGAGAGGGCTCATGCCAATCCCTTGGACTCTCTGTCAAGCTCCCAGATTTTTTTGCTAGTGTAATAGCCGAGTATCTTTCTTAGAGGCCTTTGTACCCTCGCTGTGGTTATCGTGTGCCAACTATAAACTTGCTATGTATAGCTGTTGACTCACCCTCTAGGGAGCTTGCTTTCTAGGAATCATGCTATTTTATTTAAAAAAACATTAAAAAACTTGCAAGTTCAGAAACAACACTGTAAAATGAACTATATGTGAGTAAATGTCCACAGGTCTATCCTGAAAGACGTCCCGAAGAGCATAAGCAAAGGGTTAATTTCACCTCTTTCCAGAGGGTCAGCACAAGGACCAGGGTATGCCCCATGTAAGCTTTAACGTATGCCCTCAGAGTGAAATCCTGGCCTCAATGAAGTCAATAGCAAAACTACCATTGACTTCACTGTGGTCAGAATTTCACTCTCAAAATCATATTGGGCTTACAGGGTACAGAGGCCTCATGGTATCTCTTTGCACAGGGGTGAATTTCACCCAAAATGCATTCCCATCTTGTAGTGAAGTTTGGGGAGGAAATTATTTTATCTCTCAATAGATTTTGTTTACATTATAGTTTCTTACATCTGGCAAATATAAACTGAGATGACAGTCTCTCTCTGACACAAAGTCAGGAATAAAAGTTCATAAAGAGTGACAGCAAAGGTACCTCTGATGGAAGGAAGGCTCTTCCATATTTAAAGCAACACGTAAAATATGAAGCTAACCTATACTGTGGTCTTATTCATAGAGTTAACAAAAGACTTGGTTCAGTGCCTGGTGAACTACTAAATCCTTCTTTACGTGCTAATATAATTATTAAAACAGTAAATCATATTCTTAATTTCTCAGTGGTGATGTAAAGATAAAAGCACTCGGGTACCGGGGCAATCAGTGTGGAATAAACTGCCTAGACAAACAAAGAGAAAGTTATGTTAACTTAAACAAGCATTTGGCTTATGAAATAAACACAGTAGTAACATCATAAACTAACTCTCTCTTTACTTTACCCATCAGGGAAGTACAGTACACGTTAAATCATGCTACAGAGATAATGATCTTTAAGACCAGAGATGGATTATTGCCTTTTAAATAATTCTTTCTGTTATGACATTTTTTGTTTGTCTTGTTATCTAAAGCAGTGGTCTCCAAAGTGGGATGCGCAAGAGGATCCTCAGGAGTGCACGGCAGGAGGAGCAGTTTGTTTGTTTTTTGCTTCGGCAGTTCAGGCGGGAGTCCAAGCAGCTTCTTTTTTTTGCTTCGACAAAAATGGTAGAGCCAGCGCAGCAGAGGGTGCGTGCTCAAAAGTTTTTTACTGATAGAGGTGCACGATCAAAAAAGTTTGGAGACCACTGAGCTAAAGTATAATTGTGCTTGTCTATATTCACTTTCTAGGCCAACGAGGCATGGGCTGATGCTGGGAAACAAGTTTTCTCCTGGTGTATTCCCTTTTCCAAGTCACTTGTATAGCACAAGCAAGCTGTCCAGTCAAGTGGATGCTACTCCACATGCTCCACTGGATTGCACAGACATTGTTGACTCCTATTTACTCCATGCTTGGTCCTGCATGCATAAGTACTGGGGTAGAGAAGGGATATGAGGGGCTTAGCTGCACACCACATACTAGTCAAGGAGACCCTTCCTACACTAAGCAAGATATGTTGCAAGAAACCATTGCTCTGAGCTCACCCCACCATACTTGTATAACACCCTTAATTACATACACTGCACTCAGTGTTTTACAAGTACTGGTTGCATAAGCCTGGATAGATCTGCCCATAGGTTTCTTTTTATTTAGGAAGATTACATTGGCTTTAAGTGGCTTTCCATGGATATTACTATTTACAGGAATTAGGATTCATAAGAAGTATCAGTTCTTATTGTTTATTCTGACACAATAACTTCTGAATTCAAGGGCACAAAGCAGCATTTGGGAAGCTGCCATGGTATTTGCCATAAAGATACAATAAAAAAAAATCACCCCATTTTTGCCAGCAGAGTTTGCTTTTTCTATATCTACTATCTAATTTGCCAGAAGGTATGGAGAAGCATTCAAAGTGAAGAGCATAGCTAGACTTTGGAAACTATAATGACAGTACATGGGTAAAGCATAATACAAGCATCAGGAAGCAGGGTATGTGCTAATAAAAATCACTTAGCAATAAGGCATGTATTCAGCAGGACGAACATCATTAGTAAACACAATGTACAATCTCTCTGAACAAGTGTAATTTCACTAAGAAGTCTGAGTAAACAGAGCCTTGGTAATAAAAGAGCTAGGGTCTAATCTGCTCCTATTAAAATTAATGGAAGTTTTGCTACTGATTTCAATGGGAGCACGACTGAGTCCTTAGTAATTAGAAGCTCTGATCCTGAGTTGTTAGCTCCCAAAGAGAAGACAATTTTGTTACACCAAGTCCATGCTGAGCTTACATTATAGTTTTATTATCCACTCAATTATTTTTTTTTCATCCAGAGTGTCTTTTATTTCCGCCCTTCCTTTTCTGTTTTGTTTTTTCTGAGTTTTGGAGCATCTGATCAACCCAGTGACATCACTGGAGAGCAGAATGTGGCCCATTTTCCCAGTATAATATAATGGTGTCCTTTGTGCTGAGAGGCGAGGTTTGTCCTATCTATGTTTTTATCTTTCTTTGGACCAACTTCTGCTGGTGGAAGATACAGGCTTTCAAGCTACATAGAGCCCTGTGTAGCTAGAAAGCAGTACCGCCCACCAACAGAAGTTGGTGCAATAAAAGATTACCTCATTCATACCCTGGGCTCAACACGGCTACAACACTGCAAAAATTGCTTTTAGCATAAGCTACAGTTTCGTGATCCCAAGGTGAACTTAGCATATAGAGCAGGGGTTGGCAACGTTTGGCACGCGGCTCGCCAGGGTAAGCACCCTAGCGGGCTGGGCCAGTTTATTTACCTGCTGACATGGCAGATTCGGCCGATCGCGGCCCCCACTGGCCGCGGTTCACCGTCCTGAGCCAATGGGGGCGGCAGGAAGCGGCGAGGGATGTGCTGGCTGTGGCTTCCCGCCGCCCCCATTGGCCCGGGACGGTGAACCGCGGCCAGTGGGGGCCGCGATCGGCCGAACCTGCCGCGTCAGCAGGTAAATAAACTGGCCCAGCCCGCTAGGGTGCTTACCCTGGCGAGCCGCGGGCCGAACATTGCTGACCCCCGGTAGAGAGGCTG